TTCTTCATATTTGTTTACACAATACAAGGAGGTGCCCTTAGAGCCAGCTAAAAATATCTCCTGATTTCAGGACTTGTTTTCCAAGGGATGCTGTACTCCTCAGCACCCAGTTCTTAGAGTGTTTGTTCTTCTTCAGAGGCACATAGGACTGAAAATTGTTTCTGTTCTTTTTCTAAAACAACTGAAAGGCTCAAGATATTCGAAGTAATTTCCCGATTCTGGGGCCTGTCTCATACACCAATAAGAGAATGCATCAAGCTCTGAACAGCCCTCCATTGAAAATACTTGGTAGTTCTTCTAACAAGGTGTGTGGAACATCTTATTTGGCTGCCAGCTATCTATTGGGCACTCAGAGTGACAGCTCAAATCCTTGTATGACTTCTCTAAGGACCCCAGCAATGGATGTCTTCTTGTTATAGCAAGCTGAAGTCTGTGTGAAGTGTATGCTTGATTATTCTGCTGTCTCTAGAGAACTGTCCTTGAGAGTAGCAGCACCAATTACTTCTTCATATCTGCATACACAGCCTGCAGTGAAAAGCAGGTGTTTTGCACAGCTGCTTGCAATCTCTGCTATGACTGGAACAAGTTCTGAAAGTGAGGGCGTCATATATTCAGCACAACTTACCGGGTCTGCAATAATTGATGGCATCAGCTGGGTACTAATGCCATCAATATTGCAATTTCCAATTCATAGAATCCTGTGTCGTTTAGTTTCCCAGAAGCCTGGAAGAGTTAGACGATCCTTCCCTTGATGATCTCAAAACTAATAGGTGTTGCATACCTCAAAGATCTGAGTCAAATTTTTGAGAATTTTGAGTATTGATGCAACTTGGTCCAATGTGAAAAAGTATCTCTTATCAAACCTAAACATGTCTTTTCTTACTATTACCTTAACAGAAGTTTTTAGAAACAGCCAAAGAGAATGAGGAGGGATGTAATACCATACTGCATTCAATGTAATTCTTCACTTATGTGTAAATCTGCAGACTAAAAGCTTTGCGGTGTCTCAACACCCCTCCCCACAATATTTTGTATTCCATAAAGTTTACATCTGCACCATAACGTAAGATTTTTATTTGGAATTCCTTTTATGCCTTTTGTTTGGAATTTCTTTTTTGCCTTTTTTATGCCTGATTTTTAAGATTGTCTGCCCAAACCACAAAATTCTGAAGAAATAATTGCTCTGCTAATTTTAGATGTTACAATACAGGAAATTTCTTGCGCTCTTCATTGTCTTTACTGACCTATCTAAGGATCAGAGAATTTCAACTTAAGTGCCAGCTTGTAGGAAGATGTGCTCCATTTAAAACCACAAGGCATTTTACTGTTTTTTTTTTTCAGAGGAAAAAGCAAATTCTTATGCTTGTTATGTGTATTCCCATAAATAGAATTTATGGAAACTGTGCTCTCTGTGTGTGTATGTATGTATGGGTATATATATGTGGCTTAGCTCCTTTGAAGGCTTTAAGTAATTTTAGTGTAGTATCTCAGTTCAAATGTGGTAAAGCTTTGTTTCAGTAACTGAATAACTTGCCTCAGAGAACCTTTTTCTAGTAACTAATTTATGTCAACAGCAGCAGAGTACATATGGACATGGTTATATGAACTCTGTTTACTGAAAGAAAGGTAGGTAATTGGTCTTTCTTTCTGTGTGTGGATTTTTGTTTTTTTTTTTTCTTCCAACAGACAGGCAAAGGGCTCTACAATCTAGAATCCCAACCTTTTCCATCAGTTAGTAGCATTATGAGGACTTTCTTTTAAGCATGCTTTCTCCTGTGCAGGTCACCAGACTTCCACATCTGATATTGGGCAGTTTGCTTTGACTATGTAGAATGGTTTCTCTTCAGGATTTGTAGAAATAGCGTGAAATGTATGTGCTCTTTACCTGGGGGATTATCCAACACAATAAGGAAACTTATACTCCATGTCATTACAGGCCAGTTGGAGCAGCTCTGGTAGTTGGCGATTTCCCACTGCAATATTCACCACAGTATTTGTCCTCTGTCATTGTAAACGTTCTTGAGAAATTCCCCATAGAATCTGAAGAAAGAAGTCCCTGCATAAAACACACATTAACTGTTATAAAAGGCTTAAATGACTATAACGTAACACTCCTCCTTTCTAATCCTGGTAAGTTGCAGATGTAGTATTCAAGTATCATAATTCTTCATGTACATTCCCTCTTATTTCAAGCCCTGAACTGCGGTTTTGTGCTGAAATACCACTGTTACTCTATTTTAAAGAAGCACACCACCTTTTCTGAGGGCAAAAAGCTCCACTTGCAATACAAATGCCAGGAATAGCTTAGCTCAAAGGCCATTGCCTTTGGCAGGGGAAAAATACTACTGGACAAGAGGTATTTTACCTTTGTAAAGGTAAATTAGGAGCAGCTCCCAGATCACAACTCGGAATTCTGAACTCAGCAGGAGTCAAAAGATCCTCCATACAGAGGAAAATTTCCACGGAGAGAAAATTTTCTTCTTGGCAGCTGAAGTACCAGTGGGTATGCGGAGTGCCGAAGTTGGTGAGGGTTGGGGACCGTTGTACTCGTGGAGGAAAGGACATTCCTTTCCTGAGCAGCAGTAGCGGTTGGCTTGCAGAAGTTCTTGCTGCATCCTGTCACAAGTCCCCGCACCCTATGAGCAGCCTGGTCTTGTTGTGAGCAGCAAGGAATGCCAGGAGCTGCTGCTGCTTCTCTGAGTTGTAGCTCTCTGCTTTCATTCCTCTTGATTCATAGCTTAAGGTTTTAGCCTGATAACCTAAGCATTTTCTGCTTATTATTTCAAGCATTGCATATACACATAGGTTTAGCTGCCTGGGTATTTAATTAGGTTCTTAAATATTCTTTTCATTTTACTTGTGGTATGCTAGAAACATAATTATGCAATCATTTTAGAAATCGCTGTAGTTTATAAAGATGTTGTCATTTATTAGCTGACTGCTAGCCCTCCAAGACTTGTTTTGCCCCTCACAACTAAGTCACAGTAAGAGCTTTTGGGGACAAATTCCACTACAGTGCAACCAGCTGCTGGCGCTCTGACCACCTTCAGCAGTGCTGCAGAGTGCTTTACCCGTGCTGGTGGGGTAAGAGGAGGAAGATCATTGCTCCATCCATCTGCTCCATCTCTCCAGCTCAGCTGGCTCTAGTACTGGTCACCCAGTAGGCTGCACATGAGTTCTGTGATGACTTTAGATAAAGATAACCCAGAAGGCAGAACTGTATTATCTTTCTTTTTTATTTATGCTGAATTTAGTATGCATATTAGTTTAAGAATAAAATGGTGATTGGAGTCAGGCATTTGATTACAAACATATATTCATACGCAGGAGGCATGAAGTATACCTTTTTTTTGGTGTATGTGTGTGGAGAAGTCACCTTCTGCCACTGCTCAGGCCAAGAAGTTTTGTGTCTTTAATTTTTGCTAGTATTTATTCTGCTGTTTCTTGGCCTTCTGCTCCTTCTGTCGCTTCCTGTGTTTTTTCCCCACCCTTCCACTTCTCCTCACTGCAATAACACTCCCTTCCAGCCCTTTGTGCTCCAGTTTTCCACTCCCTGTGTGCGTCAGTTTTCCACATGCTTTTGTACTGAGGCAGACAACCCTCAGATTTCATCTGTTTCATAGAGGAGCTCAGATTCTGCATTTCTTTTATCAAAGCTGGGTGTTATAACCAGAAGTGCCACAAGCCTAGTAAAACTCCTCTTTCAATGTATGGTCTTGATGGGGTTTAAAAAGTCTAATCAGCAGTTTTGAAATAGTGACACAAACTCAAATCTTCTGTTTTCAGACCTGGTACAGTGAGCTGACAGGGATCTGTTTGAGCCTCAGGAAAGCCTAAAGCTAAAACTCCTCAGAAATCTTAAAAAAAAAAAAAAAGATTTGGCTAATCTCTTTTTCAATTTAAATCAAAAGATACTGCATCAGAGAATCACTCTCAGGGTTTCTGCCCTGTCAAGGAGAGCATTTCCACTATAAAGCAGTTGATCTCCCTAATGCACCCATAGCCTGAGTTGTCAAGATCCTCTCCCTGAGATTATTTCATGTCTATTTATAGCAAAATCCTGATAAAGCTGCTTCAGGGCAGCTGTTGCTCAGGTGCAGCGTCTATCCTGCCATAAATGGGAGGCAATCTGAGGACACTTACCTCGCAGTGAAGATGGGCACGCTTGCACAGGCCATCAGTCCATAAACGTCCCTGGCCACGCTGCCCTCCTTGTGTCTTTTGGAAGATTCTGGGCAGAGGGTGCCATTGTTTCAGGTTGCTAAAAAGACCCCAAGCATTTCTGTAATAATTGGGAAGCTGTTATATCCACCAGTTTCAAAAAGGACTTAACCCTATCTAAACAGTATTTAAACAACTTTTAAAAAATGTTTTCATTTCTTGACAAACATAAATTGTTACTGAGAAGATTAGTATTTACTGTCATGCTTTGAGAATGTCCAGAGAATGGACACATGTAAGCAGAAAAACACATGTAAAGGTAGATGGGCTATGAAGTACTAAGAAAAGTAATTTGCATCTGAACAAGAGGATGGTCAGCAAAAACTTTTTGAGACCTGAGCTGTTTGCATACTTCCCCCTTGTTTTAGCTGATGAGAAAAGGATACTATAATCAACATCAATATCTTTGAAAAGCCAGCTTGCTGTAAGCCTGAACTGTTCTTCCTTCATGGAGTGTATGTATGTTCCCAATCCTTGAACTCTTTAGCATTGCTCAATTAAAAAAAAAAAAAAAAAAAAAAAAAAAAAAACCTTTGGTTTGTTTTTTGGCACCACAGTTTAAAATAGTTTGTTTGAAAAGATCAAACTGTTGTAAATTTCCAAAACAAAAAGCAACTATGTCATTAACAGCAAGCTTTATGCTACACTGATTTGGTTGGTTGGTGTAGCTGTTGAAACAGAAAATTTAGAGAGACAGATGTGGCTTCTGCTGCAGTGCACAAAGCAGAGTTTCAAGTTAATTTTTCAAGAAGTTTCACGCTTTGCTTTGTTTTTGTTAGGTAAAGATGGATTTAGAATCACTGATGTGGAAAAGACAGTGGTGATTCCAGGGAGCAGCAGCTTCCTCATCACGGCTGTTCTGGACAATCAGACGGCGGCAGCAGAGCCCACCATGCCTAAGAAGGTGCCTTTCAACATAAGCATTCCAGCCAGCCGGTGGTTCATGCATGACTTTGGTATTGCAAATGGAAAAAAATGGGACCTGAAGGTAGACACATGCAGATATTCAGTACAAGAGAGTGGTCATACAGCAAGGAATGTCATTAAATACTTGGATCTGGACACGACTTACAATTTCACGTTTAGAGTAATTCCTCAATATACAGGTAAGAGAATTGGCATTTAGTCCTTTGGTAAGTGTATAATTTGTATGCAGTGTAACCTGGAGTATCTACTAAAATCTCTGTCCTTATTTTCAAACATTATTTTGTTGAAATTTTATTCTAGATGCTAGAATTTTCAGCCAAATGGGAATTTTACCAGGTTCTTTTTCTCTCTTCCTTCCCACTCAGAAGTAAATGTGCTTTACTTTGGCTGTTAGGAAATCTTTTAAGTCTCTTTCAGTTTGGTAGTGCTCTCACATATACACACACGCTGTCTTTATTCGTATAACTTAGCAGCAGGATAATTTAAAAGCTGAAACACGCAGTAAGGGTAGAGTCTATAAGTGCATCTGTAATTTTGATTCAAACTCTCAAAATTAAATTGGGAAGCAGCACCTTTCCATTGGTTTAAATGAGCTGCACATATTACCCTTTTGTTTTCATTAAAGAAAAATGGCTTTTGACAATTCTCAAATGAAAAGCATGTAAAAAATCTACATAAATATAGTTGATGACATTTCAAGTAAAAATGAATGTTTTATTAAAAAAAGTATTCGTTTTCTATTGTCTACGAATATATACCTATATGCCCTTTACTCTCAGACTCCACTTTTTAAGTAGCTGGCCTTAATAGATCATTGAATCAATCAGATTAATAGAATAGAAACAAAGAGAGTATACATAACAATGAAACTGCTTAAAAAGAATCTTAATAAACATTAAAAGCGAGTGATTTGACAGGTAAGTATGTAAAAGATGTATGATCAAAGAAAAATGCTATCAAGAGGCAGTTTTAGAACATCCTGTGATTTGTTACGGTTCTTGATGCTGCACCTGCTTGCATATGAAATGATTTTAATTAGGATTTTAATTATGTGAAGAATACTGTGGATTATGGTAACATTTTTCTTGTAAAGCAAATTATTTCTATTAGTAAAAGTTTGCTTTGCAGCTTTTTCAAATGAGATTATGAGAATCACTAGTACAAACATCTGTCATCCAGACTTGAGAGGGGTAATTCTGCAGTAATTGCTGTTGTCTAGTTGAAGTTGGAGCTCACCCCAATGGACAATTCACTGAAAATACATGTATATTCGTGCTGTTCAAATCACTGAGAAAAACTGCTCCTAGATTTAACATTCCAAATTAGGAGGACAAAGCATTCTAAATTAGACGCATTTTCTAAAGATGACAGCATTTATGAATTCAGGTCCATCTGGGAAATTAAAGACACTTGTTCTGCTAAGGCCCACAGCACATGTGAAAAGGGCAACTCCTGCATACAGAAAGGAGGCCAAGCCCTGACTCGTGTGTCTGGTAGGAGCTGAGCAACAGGCACCTCTGCGGGGAGGCCGGGAGGAAGGAGCTCGCGGGACGAGCAGCGCTCTCAACACAGCGGTGCCTTCTCCTGGGCTGAGCAAACACTTGGCTCCTTGGCAAGGAGCAATTCCAGCCATTATAGCTGATTTTGCTGGGAGCAGCTGAGCCATATGCAAAGTTTGAAGTGTCCCGGAGTTGTATTGCTAAGGGTAATGATATTGCTACGGCAGAAACTGGCCACTGAGATCTGCTATGTGCTGTGTGGAGTACTGGATGGGAAGAAGTTGCTTCTAAGCAAATAACTAAGCCCAAGAACCAGAGAGCTCAAAGCAATTCAGGGGAGAGAAGATATTAACAGCAGCATTTTGTGCAGATTTTAAAGAATGAGGTAAGTGCAGATGGAAAGACTAAAGACCAAAACTTTCTTCTTCAACTACGGTCCAGTAAAGAATGGGTTAGCTAGTCAGCCAAAGAACTCGCAAAGAAACAGTTACCAGTCTTGTAGAGGGAAAACAGGGAGACTTATGAGGAAGAAAGTTTTTTTCCTGTTCCTTTCACATACCAACTGATCCTTTGAATGGATCTGTGAAAACAAGTTCTGGAGTTTTTTTCCTTTGGATTTTCTTTGACTATTAGAGAATGGAGTATTGAATATATATAGTCTCCATTTTTTTCTTTGCTTGATTTCACAGCCTATCCTATGTTTCAAAAGCGACTAATAAACCTCGTCATCGGCAATCCATCGCTACTGGAAGTGACTACAAAAGAGTACTGGGATGAAATTGATGGTTACATACTGCAATTCTCTGTTTACAACAAATTTAATAAGCAAGTAAGGCAAGACAGGTCACCTTTGCTTTCACAGTGGAGCTGTCTTTCATTCGGAATAGCTGTAGTAACATGAAGGTTATTTTTAGGCTTAGAGAATCTGAAAAGGTACAGATTAATTTATGTAGTGTAAAAAAATGTGGATTTTTTAATTGAAATTTCCAGTTCATCTTTGCTCAGTCCTTGGATAGAGTACTCAATAATGAATATTGTTCAAGAATACATTATGATATGATATGAAACTTCAAGTAACAATATTATTCATTTTTGGTTTTGAATCATTTTTGTATTACTTCTTTCAGTTCTTTTATAGCATCCTGTAAAAAGAAAGTTCCTTTCTGAGCTTTCTCATTTCAGAGTTATTTAGTTTATATGTAGTTGTGCACTTGAATATAAATACTGCATGTATGGAGGTCAGACTATAGGTATTGGTGAGACTGTCATCTGAAGGAATAGGACTACCATGATATATAAGGGATGTTTTAAATTGGTATTAGGAGACTTACAATTGTAACAGTGTAATAAGCTGAGAACTGTGGTACACTGATTAGTCATTAGAAAAGGCTGCAAAACAAATCAGTTAAAGAAATAATGTGACTGGCAGGACAGGGAGTTTTCTTCCAAGGAGTTTAAATAGGAAATTTCTCGCTTGCTAACTCTGCTATCATTTCAGTCAGTCAAAAGTGCAAAAGATGGCAAATGTGCTACCCATTTGTAGAAAGGACTCCAGGGGATGATCTGAGGAATTGCAGTGCCCAAAGTCTGACTTGCATGGTGGGAAACTGATTGAAATTATTGTAAAATAGAGTTAGTAGACACTTGCATAGAACAAAACATGAGGCAAGAATTAATGTGAACTTTAATAAAGGAAATCATATCTGGCATATGTAGCAATTGGAAGAGGCTGAGCTAGTGATTGTAGTTGAAGTTTTAAAAAGCTTTGAGCAAGGTCCTTTTCAAATCCTCTCAAAGAAACTAAGCTATCATGGAAGAGGATGGAAGGCCATCCCTCAACTAGCAACTAGATGGGACGAGGAGATAAAAGTAAATGGTCGTATTTTACACATAATGAAAGAAATGGCTAGTGTGTACTGTGGGATCTCTGTACCTTCTATGCAAGCTACTCACAATCAACAGTGAAAAGGAAATGAATCCTGAAGTGGGGGAATTTGGCAAAGACACAAAATTATGCAACAAAGTTACAACTAACGGCAGCAAAAAGTTGCAGGAAGATTTAATCAGTGCAGGGTAATGAGGCAGTAAAATGTCTGGTAAAAAAAAATGATTAAAAAAGGTTTTTGGAAGAAAATTACAAAGTAAGGAGTTCTAACTTAGCTGTTACTACTCATAAAGAGGGCTTGGAAAGGCAGTTCCATGCTCCATGAAAACTTGAACTGAATATTACCTTTATTTTTCTTTTGAAATGAATAGAGGAAAAAGAAAATAGGAAAGATGTAGTAGCATTAGATAAAACAGAAAGAGTGAACAGTAATAATGAGAAACAAAAAACAGGCTCCATGCAAGTGAAACTGTGTGTTCCTGCTTGGAAAAGACACACAGGAGGCAGACACGGCAGATGTCTCCAGACTCAGCGGAATGAAGAAGGCAATTCATTGTTTCTCAGAAATGCAGAAGCTGTGTAATAATTTGAGAGAGACCAAAGGAAACAGTTTTTTTACATGCTGCCTAGTTGAAGGGCCAAACTCATTGCTGCAGGATGCTTTAGAAAACAAAAATTATAGGCAGGATTAAAAGTGGATTAGATAAATATATGTGGGATATGCCCATTCTTGCCATTGAATACAGTGGTGCAAACGCTTTAACAACTAACTGTCCAAAATAACGACCACTCTGTATTATCCTGTTTTTTGTATTCTTTCCTGGGATAGTCACTACTGGTGACTATTCAGTCACCAGTACAGATTGCTGGACTAAATGGACTTCGGTTTGACCAGAGTGGCAGTTCCTATGTATGGTCTTGTGACAGACACTTTTCTTTGAGTGTGTTCAGTGTCATGCTGAGGCAACATCAGTTGAGCAATATGAGAAGTTCAGTGTAAAAATAACACCCTTTTCAAAGTATTCTTTCCATTTGTATCTACCATCTCTCTCTGCTGTGATAGGCACTGCCAGTAGCTAAAAATACAAGCCCATAAATAACAGCAGTGCCAGTTATATGTCAGTGATCTGCCTGTGCCATACTTGTCCACATCATTTCTCTTGATCAGTTTTACCAGCTCATAATCCCCAGCTGCTTTCCTCAAGTGCTCTGGTACAAGTATGGCATGGTCACGTACACTGAAAACGTACAAAATTAGGTTTCCTAAGATTAAAACTGTGAATTTTCAGAACATCTCACTAAGCAAATTCTGTTATAGATCCCTTTTAACCAAACAGGAATCACTTTGAATGGTCTCCTGATCGTTGCTGTAGGAGCATAATATAATAAAGGCAGCTTTGAAATGATGTACTGATTAAAGCCAGCGCCTTTATCTCCTTGCATTGGGTTAGCAAATTTTCCAATGCTGATATATCTATGTGAAAATTAGATATTTGCAACATTCCTTTAAATGGTGGTTTGCTTTGGGAGTGCTAATTTATTTTCACAATGTAAATATTTACAGGGTAAATCTTCAATAGCTGTGATTATCCCAGAAGCATCATGTATTTGTAAAACGTCAGCATTTATTATAACACTGAAGACTGGCTGCTTACATGGAAAATCAATTCATTACATTTCTCCAGTTCCAGTGACTACTGAACTTTGGCTACAGAAAACACCCAAAGATGACAGTGGTTTTCCTATTCTAAAAGAACTGCCGGTAAGAACATTGAGCAACTGTTAGGTGAATGTCCAAGCATTGGTCTACAAAAGGAAGGACTTCCTACTTCACATGGGATGTTTATACTTGTTCAAAGTGAAGAACTGAATGTCAACAACAGCCTATTTGTGTAGTGGGAAGGCATTGTAGAAATAAGTCAATGTGCAAAATCAGCCACTAGATTTGAAAAAACAATGCATGAAATGATTTGATTTTTTGAAGTGTGTTAAGATACACCTCTAGCTATTTAGGTGGAATAAATTAAAGTACTACTTTCTGTGTAACACCATGAATATTTAAGGCTTTTATTTTTTAGCAGAATGTTTTGAAAAAGAAGAAATTTCTCTTGGGACTCTTGGATTCTTTTGCTATGAAATATCTGAACTGAGATAGCTGGAGGCAAGAGGCAGCGCAGTTCCCAATTATGATTCCATTCGCTACACTGCTATTAGAAAAGAAGCATTTAATTGTCATTCTATAAGCATCTCCTCTTTAAATAGCTGAACATTTCATTTGCAACCAAGTATTTTTACTTATGTGAAATGCATGGTCTTGAGTTTAAACTCTTTTAAAACTGCATAATATATGCTGTGTTTAAAATGCAAATGATTAACATAATTTGTATCTCATATTAAACTTGTGTTTTAGATTTGGTTGCCTAAATAAAACAACTTCATTCTGTATTTGGATCATGCAAAGGAATGTCAAAAAGGTGCTTATACATGTTCCAGTATGAACATTTATTCTGTGTTTATCTCTCTGATTTAAACTTAAGCCAAGCCTGTAAAAGTCTTTATTTTGTGTAACAGATGCACTGAGCTTCCTGAGGTTTCTGTTATAGTGGATAGAAAGCATTTAATCTTCCTTGCACATAGTTTCTGAGCAACCAAGAGAATAGAGATGAGAGATCATCTGGAAGTCCTCAGTCTAAAGGACCCAGTCAAAAAATCATGGCCAAACACTGAAACACATAATTCATATGAGTAATAAGACATAGGTGAGCTCACTTGTCACTCACTGCTCACTGCTTAAACAGTGTTTAAAAATGAAAAAAAAAATACAAAACAATAATCTGTTTTCTCTGAAGGAGTCCCTGGGAACTAAAATGTTAAATATAGATATATTAATTGCTTTGTTTTGTATTCTTTTTTTTTCTATCGTAATTCTGCTTTATTATCTTAACATTAAGAATAGCTTCTTACTATCCGTTCTACTCAGTGAATGTGTATTTAATCTATGTCCCTCCGTCTTTCGGTGTCTTTATATTCAGGTAAACTACAGACCTCCATCTATATATGGAATAGCTATTCCAATCAGTGATAACTTCTATAATGCAGACCCCAGCAAGCCAAGAATGAGAAACTATTACACAGATTCAAAAGTAAGTCTTCTGTAATCATTTCACTGCTGCCGAGGGTATCTTCCAGCTATGAATTTTTTTTACAACCATATATTTCACACACAGTATTGCTTCAGTTTTCTATAATTTGCTTTAAATAATCAGTGTTTCGAAAAGCAGACTGTACAGACAGGATATTCAGTGTTTTCAGGCTACCGTGCTTGCCGTAGCCCATTTCCTTTCAACGTAGACCTTTCTGGTTATGTGCCTATATATAGGATATGTATCTTTATAGCAGACTCTGAAGGAGGCTATGAGGGTTTCTGCTGGGATAGTGTAAACTTATGAATACTTTATTAACAGAGAGGATGGATAATGGGAAAGAATAGCAACTGAAACAGAAACCAGGTAACTTCAGTGTAAACTTTTAAATCCTAGTCATTAATGAGGAAAGGACCCATGCCAGAGTTTCCACTCTAAATCTGTTCTCATCGCTGCTGCCAGAATTACTGATAAGATGTCATGAGTTAAAATAGAAGGGCAAGACCTAGCACTTCCCCTCTGAAAAGACTGTCGCTAAAATAGGTGGCACAGTGTGCTAGCCATGGTCATTCAGAGGTTGTAAGACATACAGGGAAAAATGGCTTTTCCATCAAGATTTTCAGGTTGGGACTTCTGAACAGATCACTGCTTTCTAGTTGATAATCACAAGAAATTAACACAGAGATGACACCATAGCTACGCCAAAGGATGGTAGAAGTTTTGTGGTGCCCCTAAGAAGATACTGTTTTTTTTCTTTTGAAATAATACCTACTTCTCCATATTCCTGCCTTTTGCCTACATTATTAAAGGTTTTTAAACTTCAAAGATATCCTCCTTAGAAACACTTCCTAGCAACTAAGCACAGCTCCACTTTCCGCTTGTCCCAGAAAAGGGAAAGGACAATTTGGTAGCTTGTCACCATATTTTGAGTCAAAAGAAATAGGACCTTTGGCAGTTGAGTAAGCGGAGCCAACCACAAGGAATGTCACGTGGGCAGGTGGGTGATTGAGGCAGGCCTGGCTTCAGGTGTAAGTACTGAGAGGGCTCTTGCGAGGCCGAGACTCTTGGGGGCAGCACTGCAGGTTCCCCAAGAACCACTCACCCAGATACCCCCCTTACCTGACTGTGGCCCCAGTGCTTCTGCCTTGGCCTCAGGTTGCTTCTGCCTTTATTCCTGCTTCCGTGCTGCTGAAGGGAAAGGCCAAGCAGGCAGAGCTCCTCTCCTCAGCAGTGAGAAGTGGGAAGCTGGCAATAGAGGTTCGTATTTCCCCTTGCATTTCTTTTTTCCCTGAATTATAACGATACTTTAGTTTGAGCAAGAGGAGTTGCATCAGTGCAGTGATGGCCTTTTTGATTTCCAGAAGAGTCTTTTAAGAACGTCAACAAATGCAGTTCACTTTGTTCCCTAATGGAAAAGTTTTCCACTGAAAAAGGTTTTTGTCAAAGGAAAGAATGTTGTCAGCAATTTGACAGGAAATTACTGAAATTTTAAAAGGTCAGAATTTGGGGGGGTTATAATATTAATGGAAATGATATAGCATGGATGAAATTCTTAAATCTTGATAAAGTTAGGGTTTGTAGGTTGAAAAACTTCTTTGGAATATCAAATTCTTTGAAGAATCCCAAGACCAGGATTTTTCTTGATTAGAAATTAAGCCAAATTAAAGCGCCTTGAAATTTCCTGTGGAACAGAAATGCGAAATTTTGGCCTGTTCAGTATTTGGCTTGTAGCAAATAGCATATTTATATTTCGAATTCTCCTACTCCAAACATGGATATTGGAACTTGTTTACTCTTCTTATATAAAGTCTTGTTTTTAGAATTTAGGCAAGAAGCTGAGCCAAAATCTTATTTTGTGGCCTTCCCACAGGTTTCTGGATCTTATAAGAAGTGTGCTAACAAGTCGTCCAGAGCTGAATGCAACTGTACGTTGGCTGAGAAAATGTCTTCACTTGAAATTTTCTCAGACTGTACAGAGAAGGTAAGGAATAAAATAGAAGAGAAATTCTTTTATTTAAGCTAGGTTCTGGGACATAGCTAGATGCCCAAACAGTACTTGAGTTAAAATTGCTCAAAGAAAAAATTGCTACCGTAAGGGGGACATTCCAAATCACCATTACAAGGCCTGCAGGCTTAATGAATGCCTGAAAGAAGCAGAACAGTTTTTCCTTTGAATAAAGCCATATACCAATAAAAGGCTTGCTTACATTTCAGGTTCTAAGAATGAGGTATCCAGTTACAAAGCTTCCAATCCATTTCAACCTTAAGCATTCAAATTCCATTACAAATCTGACATTTCCTTATTTTGTTACAATTACGGAAGTCAACCAAAGGGAAAACTGGGAAGTCAGAGGTAAGGAAAATGTTCTAACCAAAATTATAGAACAGTTCTGTCTCCACTGGGTCCATGGCAAAACTCAGTAATTTCAGTGAAACCGGGAATGTAATCATAATCTTTAAATATCATTCAGATGTTCACAGCAAGAATCCTGATTTCATATGTGTCTGCTTTGTGTTAGGCTCAAGGAGTCCTGATCTTTATTGGATGCTGCTATAATCTTAGTATAAAGTAATTGCAACCTTAGAAAATATTATCCACACTAGGAACCAGAACATCATCAAAAAGAATACCACTGTACTGACACTTGATGATTCTAAAATAATGTGATTAAAACAATAAAAAATATTATTTATTTAGGGACATATATTCTCATAGAATATCTAGGTACTGCTAGGAGTTCCCGAAACCGGTAGCCCAAGCAAGGCAAGGTAGCTGCACCTCATATGCCCAGGTCTAGCCAGCAGCAAGGCTGAGCATATGCTCTGGACAGACACACAGGCACACATAACACACACAAACTATGTAAGTATAGATACTTCATATGTAGGTATTTATATATATATGCACCTGGCAGGCCACACAGATATCAGACAGAAAACACACAGCACTTAGGCAAACATGAATGGCATGATCTCGAAGCACAGAATCCCAGAATGGTTGAGGTTGGAAGGGGCCTCTAGAGATCATCCAGTCCAACCCCCCTGCTCCAACAGGGACACCTAGAGCACGTGGCACGGGGTGGCATCCAGGAGGGGTTTGAAAATCTACAAAGGAGACTCCACAGCCTCTCTGGGCAGCAAGACCCCTGCCTCTAGCTCTCAGAAAAAGGAATAAAAGTGGGAATCAAGTTGTGTAGGGTTTTACAAATGTGGAGATGTGTCCTAAAACAGGCATTGGAAAGCGGGGATTTGAAATAAGTGATGGGTACAAGCACAATGGCAGGTGATGACATAACCTATGAACAAGTCATGTGGCTGTGCTGAAAGTAAAAACACAGTGAAGTTGGAAAGGAGGAGCTTGCATGAGTGAAGGAGAGCAATGACCACTACAGGGTCCATAGTTTCCTAGGTGAGAAGATTGCAGTGGATTAGTCCTAGTCCATGTAATATATAAAACATAACAGAAAAACATAAATTATAATCCCAACTCATTGGGATTATGAGAAGTAAGAGGCACAGAGGAAAGCAGGAATAGATCAAGACAGCAGACTGTAATTAGTCCTGTTTCCCTTTAAGTGCCCTAGAATTCTTGCAGGCCTCTGAAGCATGCAGGGATCCTTGGTTGATCAGGCTCTGGGATAGCAGTGTCTCCAGCTTCAGTGGGCCCAACAAATGCCTGTTTGCAATTTGACAGGCAATTCCACTGGCCCCATACACGTGCATTAATCTGAAAGGCTCTGGTAAAACATATTTGAAATACTAGAGAATGTCTTGAAATCAGTAAGCCTCAAATACTTACTGAGAATAATAAAAACCTGAAACCCCCCATTTGCAACAAATGGAGGTACAGATAAAATCAAGCCCACAAATTTTCTGTGTGCTGCTGCAAAAATGTGAAGAATGTGTCTAGCACCTCCTGTGCTGTTTATACATTACATTTGCCAAAGGAGAGAGGGTTTACTTTGTTTATCCAGCTCACCCTCCAATCCTGGCCTCCCTACAGCATGACCCCACACCACTTTCTTGGCATCCTGAGCCAGCTTCTGATCTAAAGAAATGCCATGGGCTACTGAGAGGTCTCAGTCAGAACGGCAGGGCCTACGGCTGCCTGCAAGGAATTTGGACTTGTTCTGTAGCAGGTCTCAGTCTGTCCAGCACTCATGCTGCCAGACCAGATTTGAGTTTAACCTTGTCAATGATGATTGAGGTACAGACCTGGCCTGGCCTATTAGATCTTGTGAAGATTTACTTCATGTGTTTGGACAGTCTTTGACTACCAGCAGCTAGCTCTACTGCTGTCTTTCAGGGGCCATACAGCTCATTATACATCAGCTCCGAAAAACCCCCCTTCACACACCTCAGCTCTCCAGTACAGACACCCCATTTTGTTCTTTATGAAACAATATGCTCTTTAATCTTGTGGACATAGAAATGTTCATAGAAATGGAAGAAATCCCTGTTATCCTTTCCTCTGTAACAGTTGAGAATAAGCAAGTGATCACTGTACTGGAGACAGGATTCCATGCAACCCCAAACAACTCTGGCAGTGGTGAATGTGTTTTGTCAGCTCAGTGGTGCCCAGTACCTGATGGAAACGGGTTGTAAGAAAAGGAATGAACTAATTCTCTTTTCCTCTCTGTCCATTGCGAGCCAAAAGTTTCACTAGGTGCATTTGGGGATACAACTGGGAAAAGAAAAAAAAAAGGAAATATTTTTGAAATTATTATTTTTTGTTATTTTACAGGTATCAATGAAACATCAGGCATATTAAAAATAAGATTCTATTTAACCAGAAAACTCCAGACTACTGTGTATAGTCCAAATTCTTTGATCTTAAGCCTATATGTAAGTTTTATCATTTCAAATTAAAATATTATGAACAGAAATGGATAGAAGCCACAGCTCTAGAACTGAACACTATATACGTTTGAGGGAGTTTTGATATGAATGGAAACATCTCTTCTGTGTAATAGATATGCCCACCCACACATTTATAATTTGGGCCTATTTCTAGCTGGAGTGAATTGGAGTTTTTATTTTGTACACATGCTTCTGGTAATCTTTAAAGGTACTGGTCTAAGAGATAATGAAGATAAATTGCTGAGTTTTTCCATAGACAAAATTTTTGAATTAGTTATTTCATACATCTTATTAAAAGTCTTGCCTTTTCTAGCTAACCACTCTATTCTATCCACTGTCATCAAGATGTTCTCCCTTAGAAATGTGACTGTGTGTGACTATATCTGACATGCAGATTTGGGAAGGATAAGTATACCTGAATTATCTGAATACATTGACCAGTACTAGTTATTTTGAAACCCTTAAAAGGCCTGCCAGGAAACTGCCTTTTCCAAGTGCCTTATAGGGGTTGTACTCTGGTTCTTTATTATCTGTTTTGAGCCAGGCTAGAGGGGGAACTGCATTTAGGGCAACCTAATGCAGACCAGCTACCAGATCTGGGAAAATGCTCTCAAAAGGAAACCTTTGTTATCAATCAAGGAGAAATCAAATATGTAGAGAAAATAGTAATCTACCTTTTGGTTTTTCTTGATAGTCTTTGTCAGGCTATGAAGAGCTATGGGAACAAAAAATGCAAAAAGACAGTGACTACCACATAAAATTGTTGGTGAGCTGGTAGATGCTATTGAAATCTTGCTTGATTGCTTTTAAGAACAGTATAGTTTCCTTCCAGCTTTACTTTTGCTTGATTTTATCTTAAAAATTAGGCACCAATTCTTATGGCACCAATTGAGAATAATGTAAAAATGGTTCTGCTCGGCAAAGTCAACATTTTGTTTAAATGTTTTTTTTTTCCTGGAAACTCAAGAAGTCTATGATCATGGTGATGATTTCTTTTAATAGGGATCTGAGCTTTTCCATTTCAAGGTATCAACTGTTCCTGGAGTTTCCCACTGCAACTTATCTGATGAATTTCAGGTACCATAAATAGATCATACTTATAATGATTTAATACTTAATAATTTAACATTTTATCGTAGCTTTTCATATGAAAAACAAATGAATTGTATGAAAAACTTCACTTGCCCAAGTCCAGCTTGGACTCTTTTGTTGAACAGGGTCTTGGTCACATATTTGGCCACTGGCAGAAATCAGTTTTTCCCAAATATTGCATTATATTTTTCTGGAAGGCAGAAACCTTTTTGACCAAATTCAAACTCGATCAAGACCAAGCCTACCAGTCATACTGGCCTTATCCCAGTTGCCAACATGCACATTAACTTCCAGTCCTTTGCCTACCTGCAAAGAAGTTACTAGTGAAAGGTACTGCTGGCCTGTCAGCCTTGTGATCCTGCAGATTCACATGCCTGGGCTCTTCATCAGTACATATAATTCATTAAGATGATCAATTCTATTGATACAATAGAAAACAGAATATACAGTACTTTCTATCCAGAATGTGCTTTAAAAAGTTTTTTTCAGTTGGAAATTGGTAACACACAAAGATCCGGACTGGGGTTTAGGGCTTCATGCTTCTACCTTCTATTAAAAAAATAGCCCTTAGCCCAAAATACCTATAGTCAAGGAAAATACATAAAATGCAGAGTAAGGTGCAAATGTATATAATTCTAGATCAACTTTTTATTTACAAAATATAGCTCCCATGTTGTCATAACACAATTAATACCTACTAGATAAAAACACCTTTCTTGATATTCCATCACTGAAATTGCTTTCCTGTGGTGCCCATCCAGCTCCTACCTTGCAATCTCTAGCCATGATTTAAGCAATGACAAAATTTCTGCTGAGTCCAAAGACTGCTTGCGTCAAGAGGAAAAGACCATTTTCTTCTACCTCTGTGCTGAGAGCAATTTATTTGCATTAAATATAATAAGCTGGAAGAATTACAACTTTGTTATAGGATGTTAGTAATAAAACTGAATAAACAATAACAGCTATTTTAAACTTTTTCTATTTCAGATTTATGTAGATGAGGCTCCACTGGCCTATCCAGGATCATTTCTTTTAAGTGCATTAACAGCTTTATTAATAGGGGGCATTATCTTTGTGGCATTTCTTGTACAACTGTATCAAATAAACATATGGGATGAACTGAAACGGAAATGTGGACGATTCAACAAAGTGTCGCCATCAGAAAGTTCAAGCGCTGCTGTTGCTACTTCTGCCTCTGCCGGGGAGCAGCGTTATGTGAATTAGGTTCAAG